CTGCTCCACCAAAGGCAGCAGAGCTGTGGCCTCAACTCCGTCTGTGACAAGGCTGACAGCCACCTTGTAGCTGAAGTGGTAAGTTCAGATGTAGAAGAGGAGCACGTGGCATGGGAGTTAGCAGGACAAGCTGTGGCACAACACATGGAGACAGGAGCAAGCTGGTGAGTGACAGCCAGGGGAGGTGAGCTAATGCCTACAGGGTAGATGGAGCATCTTTACCCGTCCGTCAACTTTGCTTGGTGAACTTGAACTGAAACATGGATATTTCTACTAAAGGTGATGCAGATGTACCCTATATGTTCTCAGGCTCATCTATAAGCAGTCTGCTTGCATGGCTTCCTATTTGTTTCCATTACTGGGCAAAAAAGTAATTGGAAGAGTACATGGAAGCTTACCTTCAAAGCTGACTGTCACAGCTGCTTGGCCTTTAGTTTGTGACCTTGCTAGGCCACATACTCCATTTTGATCTTCTAAAACTCCTGTAGGAATCATTCCCATAAATTGTACTGATAAGCCCCTGGGAGGATGAATTCAGTCCTTCATCTGCACATTTCCTCTAATTTTCTACTCTCCATCCCCCTGATTTGGAGATCAATCATCTCCCTCCATTCACACTGCTCCTGACATTACAGATGCTAAGAAAAATCAGAATAAGCACATGTACTTAGTATCTTCCTCCTAGTCTTTATATCTTGATGATAACATATCTATTCACCCTCTCTTCCTATTCCAGAGTTCTTTTTGTGATTTAGGATGCTTCCCAAGTTTTTCCAAATAATATAGATTCCTGTGGCTCAAATGAGAAACAAACAGGAAGATAGGCAGGGGTGCTGTTTACCAAGATATTTTCTGTATTGCTTTTGCATGGCCAGGTTTTGGTAGACGGGGGGCTATAAGGGTGGCTTCTGCGAGAAGCTGCTAAAAGCTTCCCCCATGTCCAACAGAATCAATGCCACCTGGCTCCAAAATGGACCTGCAGCTGGCCAAGGCAGAGCCCATCAGTGACAGTGGTAGTGCATCTGGGGTAAGAATTAATCATAGAATGGTTTAGGTTAGAAGGGACACTTTTCAATGGAGTTTTCATCAGTGACCCCACATTTGAGTCATTCTGACCCAGAGAAATGTCCTGTTCTCTGATGAAATCTTAAAAATTACATTCTAGTTTAACAGAGAGTCCTACCTCTTAAATAACTAAAATACTTTTTAGTTGGCCCAGAAATTTCATTTAAGGATTAGTGAACCCTGTTTTGCCTATCATGAGTAATTTACCTCAATTTTGTCCACTCAGAAGTGGTTTTATCTTAACAGAAATGAAAGCAAAGAATTTCACTTTAGTCACTTAAGAGAATCTATTCAGTGAGTAATCTTGGCTCGAGCAGTGACGCAGTACTGAGGATTTTAAATCCAAACTAAGCCCTGCCCTTTCTTCTTATTATCATTTTCAGCTTATACCTTCAGCTCAGGAAAAATTTCATGAATATGCTACTAATATTTGTAATTGCATTAGTATTCTAATATTCCATAATTTCAAATGGAAATACATCGAACCATTTTGCAATATTTTGTAAGCTTTATTTCATTACGTAGGAAGCTTCACTTATTAAGGAGGTTGTGGCACCTGTATCGATGCCATTATGTTTGAGAAACATGTTTCTTCATCCTTGGTTTATATTTATGTTCTTCTCCTTAACTTTTTCTTTTTAAATAATGGTTGCTTGCAAGACTGTGCAAAGCAGGCTTAGTGACAAGATTATGCTGAATGTTTTGCATGAAATATTTTGCTGAAGAATCTCTGATTCCTTCCTGCATTCAGAGCAATTTACAGGAGTTTCTGTAGCTGTGATGAGGAGTGGCTCACTTTTGTGGGGGTTTGGCTATATGAAAAATCAGCTGCTGTATCAACCCTTCAGAAAGGATTGGGGTAATATGCCACACTAATGCAAAGTAGCAGATGCAAAGTGAACCTTTTGAGAATTTAAAAATATGGCATTATCTTCTCTGCCCAAACTACTTCTGTACTCAGAGTAACTGAGCAGTTATTTCTCAACTGAACACTTCAGATAAGAAGCAAAAATGTAAGAATCACATCTATGAGAGAAACCATAACAATTTACAAATATTGAATAAAAATACATGTTATGTTTTAATAACTTAACATTTTATAAAATTAAATTATAATAAATCTAGTAATTTTTCCATGTGAAAATTAAAAAGTCTCCCACTAAAATGCTTTCTAAAATGATGTCATTATTGTTATTAATAACAATAATAATAATAATATTTTTGAAAAGATAGAGTCAAAGAAATGGTAGTGAGCAATCAAAAAAGCTGAATGAGAAGCAAATACATCCTTTTCCAAAAATATTTTAATAAATATCATGGAAACTTTGTTTTGTGCTTTGCACTGATTGTGTTGTAGCCGCAGTCATTCTTTTCAAGTCATTAGTTTCATTAAACTAACTCTACTTAGGATCAGCTCTATAAGTACAGTAACATCATATAGTTTACAAAGATCTGGAACCTTTTTCTAAAGCATGAAACACATATTTAAAAAAAAATTAGTGCATTGAATGGTAGCTTTTCAAGGAGCTAACTTTTAAATGGTTTTAGTCAGTGGTAAGAGATGGAAAGACTGTCCCCTTGTGGATAGGAATATGAGGAAAAGTGATACTGTAACTTGCTGATAGCAGCAGCAGTAACCTCAGGCATTTGGAGTCTTCATTAAGAAATTGGCTAGAATCCTGCCTTGCACATTGTTCATAAATCAACACTCAAAAGTACAAAATGCTATGAAAAGCCTTTTAATTTAAATTGGTTGGCCTGACAAACAGCAGAGGGTACAGACTGAGCTAATGTAGCATCCTTGTTAACACTATCATTCCAGGCTAATACCTAAATCTAACTACTGCAGGCAGCTGCAGTTTGGCCTGCATTTAAGAAAGCTTTTTTGAGAAGAACAGCTTCAGAGCAGACAATGGGAGAAAGCTCCACAATAAAGACAAACCCTTATGGTATATCTATAAACCAGTGTGCTACCCACACACATGCATCTGTCAAAACCTGTGCTACAGCATCCATCTACAGGGCAAAGCACCATTGTCCTCTCTTCTGAGTTGCACTGACAGAGGGACTGGAGGAGGATTGGTTCACGGCCAGTTGAAAACCCTCTCCCCTACCTGCAGATGTTAGATTATCTGTCAGCGCTACAGATTCCCCACACACATTGTCATATCTGACCCACGAGAACTACCAGAACATGCCAGCACCCCATCATCTCTCAGGTCTGGGTTAATCAAGGGCAGCTTCAAATTTCTGCACAGGGAAGCAGAACTTCATGGGGCTTCCGAGAACTTAATTGGGCTGCTGAGATAGTGGGGAATGTTTCTTATAGGAAGTGTTCTGTTTTATGAAGTCTAGTCCTTCCCTAATGCAGGCAGTTACAGCCACCCTAACACGTTATCTTGTTTTGCCTTTATTAAGAATTCTATTCCAATTACTTCAATTGCAAGAATTTTTTCAAATATCATTAGAAACCTCACAAATTTTAGCTTGGCCATATTGACAATCAGTGTATATCTATTCACTATATTATCCTTTTGTTTAATCAGCTTTTTTAACACCCTATAATCCTTGGCAGAGAGTAATCATATTTCCTCTTAGCCTTTGCTTTGTCCAAATAAGCAAGGCACATGACTGCAACTTTATTGTTCAGGCCAGGTTCCCCAAATGCCTTCATAATGTGTTGTGTCACCTGAAAGTGTACTGTGGGCTCAACTTCTTCCACCAGCAGTCACTCAAGAGTGTACTCAGTCTCATCAGTACAAAATCTTACTCTGTTCCTAATGGAAACACTTTGACTGATGTCTCCTTTGCTAATATTGGTTCTTTACACAGTCACATTTCAGAGGTCACTCCTTAAAAGCCTAGCTAACTCAGTAGCTGATTTTATCTGTCATTTCCTACTGATTGTAGCAGAAATTCTCATTCTTCCAGCAATGACTGAGAAACAGGTTGCTGACACCCTTTGAAGACTTTCTACCAAAAAAGTCCTGAAGGTTTGTGGCTAACCAGTACGATACTGGAAAGCTGAGGTGCAGGTTGGTGCACAGGGTGAAGGGAAGATAGGCCTGAAATAATATTTGGCCTTTGATAGGAGAATATTTGTGGAGTCACCATCCCTGGAAGTGTTCAAGAGACATCTGCATCTGGCACTGGGTGATATGGTTTAGGGGTTACAGTGGTAGTGCTGGATTGACAGATTTGGTCTTAAAGGTCTCTTCCAACCTTCATGATTCTAAAATGAATTCTGCTAGGTGGAGCTCACTGAGTCACAAATTGTCCTCCACAAAAAGCGAGTATGTCACATCTACTACTCTGTGACACACGAACAGACCAAGGAGTTACTCAAAAGGTCGAAGATGACAATATAAAAACCCATGGTGAGTAATTGCAGACCTAGATAGAAACAAATATTTGCAAACTTATATTAGCACTTGTCATTCAGATATATCCCATTCATGGCACTGGGTGAGTTCCATGTGCACACTGACAAATGGCCAAGGGCATTATAATTTGGACAATGTGGGATTCTGGTAAAAACATCCAGACATACATGCAGCAAGTCTACACTGTGGGTACAGATTTTTTATTTTTTGGTTTTTTGGATGTTACAGGTCGCTTTGACTGCCAGATGAGAACAAACTAAAAGTGAAAAAGAGGAAATTCTTAAAACCTCTTTCCTCTATCTCTGTCCTTAACGCTAGGAATCAATGAGAAACCAAACTGTTTATTTCTGTACTTCATGGGGGAAGCGTCATGGGGGTTGTGAAAGTTCCCTCTTTCCTTCCCGGTGAAGAAACTTCATGGGGGAAAAAAAAAAAAAAAAAGCTCGTTTTTGCATAATTTCATAACCCTAGTTCGGGGCAGCGGCTGAGGCGCAGCCTCTGGAGCCTCCCTGCCCTCTCCCGCCCCGTCCCGCCCGTCCTGTCCCCCCCGGACGGCACGGCCGGCCGCACTCGGCGCCCGCCATGGGCGGGGCCGAGGAAGGGGCCGGGCGGTGCGGAGGCCGCCGCCGTGCTGGTGAAAAATCGTGATGTGCGGAGAGTCCTGCGTAGGGAAAGACCTCCATCGTGCGGCGGTACACGGAGCCCGATCGCGCCCGCCGGGCACACTCCGCCACCTCTACTTGGCCACGATCGGTGAGTGACCGCCCGTGTGCCGCCGCCGCCACGCTCCCTCGCTGCCTCTCCTCCCCGGGTGCCCGCGGCTCACACACGGCCGGACCGGCGCTGTCAGCGCGGCGCTGCCGGTCTGGGTGGTGTCAGATCTCCCTCTGCTGAGCTCTGCGCGTGTCCAGCCGCGTCCAGCGACTTAAACCTTTACCAGCGTGTCAGGACGTGTGTCACCCGGAGCCACTGCAGAGTGCTGGCCTGTTACACTGGCCTTGCTGTTCATCCGGGCTTTGGGAACCTACTCCCATTTTAAATTTACGAAGACAACTTGTTCTTACTGTTTCTATGGCCCACAGAGGCCCTGCTGCTGTACAGTGGTGTGGGTGCATAGAAAGCCGTACAGAATCACAGAATCAATGAGGTTGGAAAAGGCACTCTGAGATCGTCAAACCCAACCTGTGACTGAACACCGCCATGTCAACTAGTCCATGGCATTAAGTGCCATGTCCAGTCTTCCCTTAAACAGCTCCAGGGATGATGACTCCACCACCTCCCTGAGCAGTCCATTGCAATGTCTAATCACCCTTTCTGTCCAATCTAAACCTTCCCTGGTACAGCTTAAGGCTATATCCTCTTGTCCTGTCACTTGTTGCCTGGGAGAAGAGGCCGACCCTGACCTGGCTACAATCCTCCTTTCAGATACCAACCTCAAAGAAATGTCAGATGCCAGTAAAATGCCCAGTTCCTCAATCTTTCAGGCTAGAAAGGGATTTAACTTTTCACTAATAATTTTAATGGTATAAAGTCAAAATATGTACTACTGTAGGTAGCTGCATGCATGGTGATTAAAGAAGAGTCATTGATATGATGGAACTAATTAGGCCTTGCCAGACCATGTCCATTCTGTGCTGTACCACCACGCTGCCTCCCCCAGCACCACTGCAGATGGGTGATGATGGGGAACTTCCCACTGCCTTGGTGTCCCAGCCCCACAAGCTGACTGTCCACATGCTGAAACCTGTGTCATCAGCAGGCAAACGTGTTATGTGTGTGCAGTGATTTGATTTGCTGTGGAGATTTTCCCAATTTTTGCCTGGGAAATTTTCATTTATAAAAGTGTGTGTGTATGAGGTTTTTGTTTTTTTTTTTTTTTTTATTTTCTTTGCTCTTGAAGAGAAGATTAAAGTATGCCAGGAAATTGTGTATTCCTGCATTTGGAATATGCATGGCTCTTTTAAACATTTTTCAGTCTGGGAGGAGTTGGCTTATCTGAATTAAATAACAGATAGTAGCTGTGGCAGTAGTTGGTCCAGGAAATACTTAATGTACGTGATATGACTTGACCTGCCCTCATGAGAACAGCTGAACTTAAACCACTTTTTATTTTCTTGTCCATTCTTGCAAAACAGTCTCTGAAACCATCATGAACAAGGAGGGAAGAACAGAACTAACAATGAAGTTGGGAAATAGATCCTAATAACAGGCAACTTGTTGCCAGGCTTAGTAAGGAACTCCAAAGAATGGCCATGAAAATAAACATCAGCTTTGTTGATGTGTTTTATACTGGGACAGAGATTCCTGACCATGAGGTTATTATTTTGAGATACAATTTCTTTTACTCCTAATTCAGTTCCCTGCAGACTCAAAACCTTTTCTAAAGTGATGATAATAATATGGTTTCCAAGTTATAACTTAAACTATTTGAAGGAATGGTGAAGATAATATGAGGTTTTGTGACAATTATGGACTGAGATTACCTCTGTTAGTTTTATTACTGACACCTACTATTGAGAGATTTAAAAACTGTTTATGAAAATGAATCATCCAGATGTGGTTTTTGTTACCTGAATATGTGAAGTTATTTGTGAAATACTCTATTTCATTTAATTCCATTTTAACAGGTGTATTAGAGCTTAGACTTTTAAAGCAATTGGGATTGTGAATGATGTCTTCCAAAAGAATGATATTGGAAGTGAAAGTTTCTTTTTTCATGTAGACAGCTACAATGGAGAGGAAGCCCTATAGGTTGTGGCTCCTAATGTTGTAAAGGAAGAAGACACAATACAATGTTTTCTCAGTTCCTGAGGTCTTTTCCTTCATTGTTGACACTGTCAAAACAAGTAATTGTTTTTATCTGGCTGCCTGTTTCATACAAGCTCAGCCAAATGATCCCTTTCTGTTGTGCAGCCTATTAAATGCTCATCTGCTGTTAACTGATTTTTCACCTTACCTGTCCAGGTGAAACGTGATTGGAGTAGAGGGGAGATTATCCCAGCTGTGCAGTGTTGCAGCCTTCTGAGTTCCCTGACAAATTCATGTGCCCCCACCTTCCTTAGTGGCAAAGGGTCATACGCACAGAAGTTAAAAGGTTGTTGAAAGTCTCATTTCTGTGTCATCATTAATCAGAGATTTGTGTTACTAGGAAAAATTCTAGTGTTATTGCAGGGGAAAAAAGCAACCAAACGTTTTATAATAGGACTCAGTAGTAGCGATCTTTTCTAAAATTATGTATTTCATGAGAAAAGGCAAAAAATGCATTCACAGTAAATTTTCATTGAAAAATTTTAATGCATCACTTAAACACTCAAGGCTGGGTGCCCTTCCTCCTCTTCAATTACATAGTTCGGATAAATTATAAGCACTTATAGTTTTCTAATTAAACTTGTATGCATCATAAGGCGGATGCATTGTATTATGAATAGACTATAAAGAATAAATGTTTTTGTTTAAACAATGGCATTGCATATAAAGCCATAGAGAAACTTTATGAACAAAAAAACCCCTTCTCTACCAGTGAACAGAATTGTGATCTCATGGACTGTGAGGTTATTTTGCTGTATTAATGGTTGCTGTGGTCCTGCAGCCCACGTTTTCTTTGAGAAACATTTCTGCAGAGCTCTGAGTCCTCTCAGATCTGTCATAGTTGAAAGTGGTACAACTTCAGCATTAGGATCAAAAAGTCTGTGTAGATGCCCTGATACTTACTTTAGAAGGAAATAAAGTAGAGCTAATCAGCAAAAATGAACCATAGTGAAGGTATGTGTTAACACCATCGGTAGCAATCCACATCTTAATTACTTTTTCTCTTTTTTTTTAACAAAACTGGATTTTTTGTCACTGTTACTTTTCTGTCCAACCATCTTATCCTATGAGTTGCTTTTCTTAGCAAACCAGCAATTATCATTACTTGAGACCACTCAGATACCACACCACTTCAGATGTTTCTTGACATGTACAGGAAAACAGCCTGATACAAGTAGTAGACCAACAACTAATAGGGGTTAAGTATGGGTAGAAGTGACACAGTGGAAATTCAGCCCACAACATCTCACTGGGTGCTTGCCCAGTTTGGGCACAGGAGCTGATAGCAACTGTTTCCCTATTTCTGGAGTTGAAGACAATGTAAGTGGGCATTCACCATCCTCTGCCCATGTTTTTGCTGTTGCATCCTGCTAAGCTGCTCAAACTTGCATTTTCTCTGGATAGACATGTTTTTTGAGCATTTTCTATCAGGAACTCACCAGCTCTGTTGGAGTGAAAAGTGTGTTGTCATTTCTAGGCCAACTGCAAAAGACCTCTTTGAAGAGGACTTTTGCAGATGGCCAAAGCCTATTTTATAGATACTGAGGGAAGAGAGGGGCATTTCACAGCTGAATTACCCTGACTTACTGACTATTTCTGTGCGTTTTGGACCTAATTGTCTATAAGGTGCATCAGTCCTAATATGTGAATATTTGATCTTTGGAATACAAAGAAAAGAAATTAATTTCATGGCTATAAAACTTGGAAATAACAACTAGAATTTGAACTTGCACCCAGCATACCCCCTCTTGGTTTCATTTGACAGCCTAAAAGAACCAAGTACAAGCTGTTGCATTCCAATAACATTTATCGCCAGAGCTGTAATCAATGCTCACTTTGTTATGTTGATCATGTTGTACAACACTTAGGCCTAAAAGCATCTGAAATCTGTGAGCTGTCTTTGGCATTGTGGTTCTCATTTTTCTTTTCTGTCTTTGCAATTTGCTAAGTTTGCTGGAAATTTCATATAAAGACATGAACAATTCATGCATGCAGAACATATTGACTTCTGTTTTTCACTAACATTCATTGACCTTTTAGGTCAATAAATTTTGAAGTTGACTTAAGAAGTCAATACCCCTGATTTTAATTTAGATTAAGTTTTAGTCTGATTCAGCATTCTGCTTCCCTTTTTATAAATAAATAAAAAGAAAGCTTATAGCAATTATTATTAAAATGTATGTCAGCTAAGAACTTTCTCATATAGGTCTGGGAATCCCTGTCTGGTTTACATTTTTTTGCTCTATTCCCAATCCACCATTTGAAAGCGATGTTTCAGCCTCCCAGTGTGTACCCTGTCCCTCTCAACATCAATTGTAGAAAATGATACAGATAATTAAACAAAACCATGTGAATTTCAGGAGCAAATGTTTTCCATCACGTTGGAATTTCACCTTACATGAGCAAATTTGACTTAAATTACATTTCCATCTGACATTATTAATTCCATCAAGGAAGCTTTGTGTAATACTAATTACAGATACCAATTATACTATTTCATCTTTCCTTTCCATTGAAGCTTCAATGAAAATTCATCAAGTGAAGGACATGATTATCATAATAATTTTTTAAATCTACCTCAACTCCCGTATCACATACACACAAAAAATGTTAATGGCATTGGAATCATGCATGTGAGAGTGTACTTGTCAAAATTTTGTGCACAATACATCTGTCAGTACAAAGGAGGGGAACATTTCCTCTGTTGCATTTTTTAGTTTGCTGACATGGATACTTTGCTTTGATAAATTAATTTGGCAGTCAGGTTCTTACAGAAATCAGTACAGGGGTATTAACTTAAAATTTTTGTGATTTTTCAAACTGTCTAGGTCTTTCAAATGACATTACTACAGGTGAAAAGCCACTCTGATGTAATTTTAAGTAGCTGTAGTTTGATCTTATGGAATTTTGACGATACAGTATGGTCACCTGTTGCAATGCCACCTTAACTTCACTTGATATAATTGACAAAAAAACCTTTGTTGTTTTTCAGTGGGGAAAAAAGCTATCAGAGAAATTATCAAATATTATTTCAAACTTCAGCAATAAAGTAATAGGGAAACAATGGTTAACTGAGAAAAGTGCCACTAAGATAGCAGCTGATAGCTGGCTGATTGCAGTATTGAAACTAGAATTTTAGCAGCCCATAAATGCAGGTATAGTCTGCTACATTTGGAGTACTAATTTGATAATATAATGAAGGAAAACACCATAAATTATAAGGAAAATAACTTTGAGGAAAGATCTGTAGTCTATGTAGAGACAACATTCTGCACTGATTTCAGATATTAATGCTTGCTTTTAGAATTCTGGATCTGTGATACACTGTGATTTAGGCTGTAGAGACAATCCTCTTCATATTGAATTTAATCCCATGTAAGTTTTGTGTTTGCGTGTAATTAGTACAGCCAGCTCCTATTCCTGTTCATGTAACTCTGGATACTTTTTTTAGGGATTTAGAAATAAGGACAGAAAAATGGTGTGGCACGTGTAATGGCTTTGTAGGCATGTCTGCCTTCCTATTCATAGCTGCCATGCTGTTGAAAATCACCAAGATATTTGCACAACGTATTATTGTGCATGGGCCGTGAAACTGCTGCCATGTCACTTGCCTATCCATGGAAATACCTACTTGTAGTTTTAGAGCATCTGCACCTTTGCTTTGGCCTGCCCCTTCATTGCTTGGTATTGGCATTGCTTTGTATTGTATTTGTGCAATGTATTGGCACATAGCTGCTTTGATCATTGAATAATTTCCTTCTACAACTTCCATTTTGAATGTATATGGTTGGCTAGTTATTCTTTGTTTGGTATTGTTCCTTTTCACTTTCTGTTCAAAATTGCACCATAACTAGAGCTAAGAAACACTATTCAAAGGGAATCCATGTTAGTATGAGAAATGTTACCGATTTTCCTTTTTTTCTTTTAGGCATTGATTTTAAAGTAAAGCTAGTAATGTTTAATGACACAAGAGTGAAACTTCAAATATGGTAAGTTTTAATTTGTATCACAAATGAAAGCCAACTAAATTGCATTATGACCTGAAAAATCTCATCTGCTTTTGATCATGTGTCTTCCTGACATGCAGGCGTTCCTACTAGGTCATTTTAAAATTTGAGTTTAGCCTAGAGGAGCACATTTTTTGCAAAAACTAATGTAAATTTAAAATAGGGTTATCCCTGGGTTGCTTTAACAGTAAAACTTGCATCATACAAACAGTGCAGATCTATGATCCATATTAAGTATATTTAATTGTATAGGAACATCGAGGGAAGTGACAAAGCAAAAACATTTTACAGTTCATTACCCATCAGATGCATGTTCAAAAGCATCACCAAGAGAAAGCCACTAAGAGGAGTCTGTGAACATACACTATTTTTTGGTTTGGAGGTTTTACTAAAGAGTATATAGGGCTCCTGACAGCTGTCTCTCCAGGCATCCAGTACTGAATGTTATTTATACTTACCGGTATTTAACTTCTCAAGGAATAAATCTGTACATGAATTACCTGACCATTATTAGATCCACAGTTATTCTGCCTCAAGCTTTAATACAAAAGTATTGGAGGCTTGTTTACATCCTTCTTAAGGCATAATTATGTGTAGGAGTCACTGCATCCCTGTATTTTGTAGACTTTTTCCTGAAACCTATCTTCCATCTAAACCAGCTTACTGTTTGTGTCAGAGTTTACATAGGGCTTGTCAGAATATGGGGATGTCACCTGACTCCTGCAATGCTTGTACTACAGATTTTTTTTATCATCTGGGTTGTACTGATCATAATTATTATGTATATAAAGAAGCAGCGGTGGACTTGACATTACACTCAGACTTCAGCCACTGGTTTGGCTTCCTTAGTAGGGCTGTATTATTCAGAATAAATTTCCAGTGTATTTCTTTTAATGCTGTGTCTCTCATCTGTGTCTTTTCTTGTTCCTTTCACATTAGAGTATATAATTCAAAATTTGGACAATACTCCTTAAAATAAAGTTATTTTTCTTGGGGGTTCTGCAATTTGATCATCTTTTGTTTGTTTGTGTGTGTGTGTGTGTGATTTATTGCAATTTCTTTCAGGGATACTGCTGGCCAGGAACGATTCCATACACTTAGTACTAGCTATTTCCGTGGTGCACAAGGCTTTGTTCTTGTATATGACATCACAAATCTGAAGAGTTTTCAGAGTATAACAATGTGGATGCAAGACATATATGAGGTAAATGTATCTGTCAGTGGTTGATCTCCTAATGAAAGTAATTAATGTGTTGTTTTAAATGACTGCATGAGATCTATTCTTGTTTCTGTGTTTATAACCAGAATTTCTTGCATTTAACTAAGCACACAGTATGATAGTAGAATTACTGTCATCTGAAACTGGAACAGAATGTATATTATCCAGGACAAGCCCATGGTGATGCAGGAATGTTTTTTGAAGTACTTGTAAAACATAGCTTCCAATTCAGGTTTGTGCATGCTGAGTTATGATGCTTTTGTCACTGGTGTGGCTACACATAAGTCAATCTCCATGAGCTCATCCTAGGATTTTAATTGGTTTCTGTATGAAAATTCCATATCACAGCCAATTATTTCCCTTTTCTATTTTCGTTACTTTAGTGTAATTACCTCATCCCAAGATCAAAGGAATTAAACATCCTCTTTGTCCTTGCTGGATATTCCTTGAGAGGATGGTTTCAAGAGGGAGGAATTGGGGTGGGAAGCTGTTTGTTTAGCTCAACTGCTTGTATTGCTGCAGCTCGAAACACGTGCTTTCATGTAAAATAGGAAGTGATTCAACAGCACATGGCTGCCAGACAGGGTGTGTTCCCACCTCCCTGCTCCTAAACATTGGCTCCCACTGTGCTGCTTTTGGAGCTTGTCAAGAGTCCTCTGTGGTTCACTCTGACTTTCTAATGCAATAGAAAACTAACAGAGAAAAAAAAGTTGGATGTTTTTTCTGCTCCATCAGTGAGTTTAAGAGGCTAATAGAATGGTCTGACACTTATTGGAGTTGGTGCAAGGTAAATAGGTAGGAGCAGGAAGGCAAAGAGAGAAGAACGTATGGGAACAGTGTGAAGGGAGGAACCAGGGAGGGAGGAGTGGGCAAGCCCTTAGGCATAAGATCGTTCAGCTGCCTATAACCCTGTATTCCAAGTCTTTATTGCTAGGTCTCTCTTGTTGTGTTCTCTGTTAGATGAGGCAGGTCAGTTTTAAAATAGTTCAGCTGTAAGGGACCCTTAGTGACCATCCAGCTACGTGACCACTTCAGGGCTGACCAAAAGTTAAAGCACGTTATTAAGGGCGTTGTCCAAATGCCTCTTTACTTGGCTTGGGGAGTCAACCATCTCCCTAGGAAGCCTGTTCCGATGTTTGACCACTCTCTCAGCAAAGAAATGCTTCCTAATGTCCAGTCTGAATCTCCCAGGCACGACTTTGAGCCATTCCTACATGTCCTGTCTCTCGATGCCAGGGAGGAGAGATCAGCACCATTCCCTTTACTTCCCCTCCTCAGGGGGCTGTAGAGAGCAGTGAGATTGCCCCTAAGCAGTAGCATGGTAGTCTGTAGTTAGCACAACTGTGTAAGTTAGTATGCTTGTGTAAGAAGCCAAGCAAGGTAGTGCTCTTTGTTGATTAAAATCAAGTAGACATTCAGATAGTTTTTTTAATGCTCTTATGATTTGGTGGGAATATGACGTGATGGAGAGTTAATCTTCGGAAAGTGGGCTTGAAGTAAAACCATCAAACGCATCATTTTCTCTCTTCACAGCTTCAGTATACAGCTGAATTAATGGACTACACATGGTCATATATCCAATAATACATACATAGGGTATCTTATACTCTTGGTAAAACATTACATTTACATTATCTCATTATTAACAACATTACCATGGTGACCAAATACATCATTATCCTTGACCTTAGAGCCGTCTTAAAAGTCCTAGTGGCAACAGAGCCTAATGCAGTAATGTGTTACTGAAGGAGATTTGATGACACAATATTCTTGCTGGTTTGTCTGCACACACTTCAAATTAAGACATCTGTTTTATTATTTTGTTAAGAAAAGCACATGCCCTTATGTATTATGGGCAAATAAAAGCCACGCCTATATATGCCACTGGTGGTACAGTTTCATGGTTAACAAAGATTTAACTCAGCACACAGTAGAATAGTATGTTTGCTGTAATCTGAAGCTGAAAATATAGATTATCCATATATATCCATTAATATCTATCTATCTATGCATGTATCTATATATCTGAGCATACAAATTTCTCTATAAAATTCTGGTCTTTATTCACACTGGCTCCGAAGGGGTCATTTTGTCCTGTCATCTTTAATTAGATCAACAGGGTGATTGATTCAGTGGGCTACAATTCACAACCATAAACAGCAAGAAAGTTTCAGGACTGTGTGGCCAGGGTGGAGGGAAGTATGAGACTAGCACCTGTAGCCACCGTGCAGGCTTAGATCTGCTTAAGTCAGTCAGGAAATGACACCTGCAGAAGCCTGCTTTCTGTTTGTGACACTTCAGAGCTTCCGTGTAAATGTAGTCAAGCTATATAGACTGTTTAATCTTAACCCCCGAAGGTCCTTTGTTAGTTTAAAATTTAAAAAATCGAAGAATACTCAATCTAAACCAATTTTTAGGAATGTAAATTGCATGATTGATTGTACCAATCTCAAAACTAGCAATTAGTGTTGTAATAGAGCTAGATAATAATAAAAAATTTAATTTAGTCCTAGTGGGATATCAATTTCTGAAGCGTCTTGGTAGAAATATATGGAGCCATTCATTGCAAAAGAAGTGTTTTTAAGCAATAACTGTTCAAAACCAGGGCATTTCATGAAAATTAATTACTTCCTGGAGGTCGGTGACATTCCCTGCATTTGCTTTGGTCTGTGAATGCAAACCAGTATTTAATTCCCCACAAATGCCCAGAATCAAAGTGGCTGTTGCTACAGCACCCTTTGAAATATGCAAGCATAGAAAAAATAAGTTTTAAAAAGGAAAACAGATAGAATACAGACTTAATGAAATACCTGACTAACAGGTAGTGTAAAGCTTGCACCTGAACCAATCAAACAGGAACTTTTGAGACTGAAGTTATACTCTCATGTTTTAATTCTTTACACATAAAAATTTTAAACAAAGTTTTTTAAAAATCTGTTCAATGTACTAAGCCATTTTTACAACAGTTGAAAATAACAATCTAAGCAATTTAGCATTCTTAAGAAGTCCATTGATTTTATAAAAACTGGCCAGTCAGTACAATTACAATCAGATTGCCAGTAATGTTCTTATTATATTTCAGTTATTTGAAATGTGGAATACAGCAAATTTCCTATTAAAAATGAATTACTGTTCAAGGAAGTTCAAGACAGAAATATGCTGCCATATCTGTATTGCTGTAAAATTTATATTCAGAACTAGAGGAAAGTAAGTAACATGACTGTACTTAAAAATCTTAGTAGAAAAATATACTCACCCACAGATTAATATCTTAGGGCATTATTGGCAAATACAGTACAGGTATATTGGATTTGTAATGCACTCATTAGGACCATGATAATTGCAGAAAAATTACTTTGAATCTGAAACCATTCTTTGTTCATAGGATTGCAGGTTATGTGCAATTTATTAAAGTGTTCCTCTTGTCTTCTGACATGGCTTTTAGCTGTTGTATGTACCTGTTCTGAAAGGCTGATTCTGTTTAGCCTTTAAAAATTAAGTACAAGCAGCTGTGTACCAAATCCATTTGCAGAAAGCATTTCTTTCTAGGAATTTTTGAACAAGATTCCAACTAACATTGGCAAAAACTTCCTCACAGTAGAGTGGTCAAATGCTCAAACAGGTGCCCAAGAGAGGAACTCTTAAAGGACACACTTAAAATGCCCTTCAACAGGGCCTTGAGCAACCTGACCTGACTTTGAAGTTGGCCCATCTTCAAGCAGGGGATTAGACCAAATGACTTCCAGAAGTCCTTGCCAACCTAAATCACTAATGGAATACATTAGCTTTCTATTTTTCCCACCTGAAGAAGTGACCCCTTGACCAGTATATAAACTGTATGGGTGTGTTGTGTTGCTGACATTTTCGCATAGTGCCCTCTTTTGGTTCAGTTTATCTGGTGCATCTGGGAGACTGGACTGTCTTTTGGTGTTTCTGCATCACACTTAAATAAAAGCAGCACAGCAAATTGCTGTACAAATGTAAATTAGGTTGACTTCAAGGTCTTCTGAGTTTTTCTTCCTCAGGAGGGAAAGCTTGATGTCAAAAGATTTAATAGTTCCAGTTTGTAGATGGGATTGTTGTTATGGCTCTGATTAGAACTTAAAATTCTTGTTCTTGTCATTTTACTAAATTAGTTTATCTGTAATCCCAGGTTGGTTTTGGGATAAATTGGTTTATATTTACTGCAGTCTAGGTTTGCTTGTAGGCAAACAAATTTTATTATTTGTTTATTTCCACTGAAGTCCTGGAAACCAGGTATTTGTAACTGAGGTCGTAAGATGACACTTAGAAAAATATATAGAAAGAGACATGTATGGGAATCATAATGTGAACATTGTCCATGTGATACTGTCAAAGAGACTGTGAGGGCAATCTGTTACTGATAAATAGCTCTTCAGTATTACAAAGGGTAAGTTTCTACTGTCATTGTCTAGTGAGTAAGAAGAGGAAACTTCCCAGCTTTAAGACCTTCTCCAGCCCCGCCTTCATCTTGCAGTTTGACCATGTGCATCTTTGTGAGATGTGAAAAATTATATTAATACTACATTTCTTCCTCATATACAAACTAATTGAGTATTCCCATAGTGTATTTATCACGTATGGGTTCTCGGTTTGACTATTTGGACTTACAAACTTCTGTTCCCTTTTCAAACTGTCATCAGTGAGTATCAAAATCATGCAGCCCTTCATGACTACACCCTGGAAGTGTGGTGGAGGGACAAGGTGGTGTTTCTGGAGGATGTATCGCTGGATAGATTGGTTCATACAACAAGGAGTCTGGGTGAGCTTGTAAACATCACGGTCAGTTTGCTGCAGGGGAGGTTGAGGCTGACCATTCATGGTCGGGTCTGTGCTCACCATTTAAGAAGTGAAAGTATTGTTTCTTCCAATAACCTGTAAGTACAGATGTGGTGTAGTTCTCTTACAGTAAGGGTGTCTGCTGCTTTTCATACTCACATAAATTCAGAGCACTTCTGGAAAACAAGAACTGCAGAAAAAAAAGACCTAATATTTGAAAAGAAGAAAAAAGACCCCACCAAACAAATTGCATACAAAGGGGATGAGCAAGATATTTTCCCTTTTGCATTTTTGATTTCTGTTAATAGCCATGTAGTCAGGCAGTGGTTTGTGTATGTGCTTGGTTGAGTGCCCAGGCTGGGTGAACATTAAGCAGGAGGGTGGAGGGCATGGGTGGGTGTCCCCTGTCAGTAGGTCGCTAAAGAGGCCGTGGTGCTGCGGTGCAAATGTCCAGTGTTCCGGACCTGGTACGTGGCAGAGCTGGGTTTGAGGCTCTGCCGCTGCTCCCTCCCGTGGCCACTGCTCGGAGCAGCCTGACTCCTGCTGCCGCCAGATCTAACCGCCTGGGAACCCGGCGAAAGAAAAGCCCTTTTGCCAAAACCTGGTGACTCCAAGCTTTGCCAAACACTTCAGAAAACTTGGTTAGTCTCAATAAATCTCTTGACTCCAATTTTTTTGAGAGAAATATAGTGCTCATGTTTTCCTTTTCAAGATAAAATAGTATAGGTTTTCTACCTATAGTTCAGGTTATTTTATTTTAAGCGTCAATAAAATGTAAACTTTGAAATATTAAAACCTGAGGGAAAACTGAGAGATTGAACCAAAAATCTGGCATTTTTGACATACCAAAGCAAAACTTTTTTTTAATCTTCACCAAAAAAAATTTTTTTTGCCTTGATGAAATGGATGAAATTTTTAATAATACTTCTCCATGATGTGGGGGAAAAAAATATTTCCTGAGTCTATGAGCTTACTCAGTGCTGACTTGCATAGCATTTTAACAACAGTAAAATAACCATCGTCTTTCAGATTTTGCATTTGAAAAGCTTATTCTCTAGCTATAAATAACAGAGTATGAAAATACAATGTAAGCTTTTGGAAGCACTGAAGAGCCATATTTTTGGCCAGTTCAAATCAGTGTACCCTTGCAGTTTTTATGCCAGCTGAGCACATGGTCAAACTTCTGCCTCGTCATATTGACTTAATTTTTTAAGTCTTCATCTACATAATCAGTTTTCAGAATCTAAAATGGACATCAGTTTAGTGTATAATCTTCATTTTTCTAAATACAAGAAACTACAAGGCATCATCTTTAAAAAAGGAGTACTTTGAGTGCTTTGATGGAGGATCCAGACAAAGTGAAAATACATTAATACATTATATTGATATAGATTTAATAGTAATTTGCAGAAATAAATACTGATTGGTAATACTGATAAATACTTACTGAAAGGCCTGGTACCTCTAACTTCTTTTAAATTTTCTTATTGTTTGAAGCCCTTTAGAAAAAACATTCCTACTGCAAAAATTTGTGCTGTTTATACTGAAATAAAGTTGCAGAATGAATTCAGTGGTTTTGTTTGTGCAGTATGCAAGTATTTGCCTTTGACCTTTAGAGTAAAGTTAAATGTCTCTTATAATACGTTCATCAACATCAACAACTTCTTCCAAATGAAAAGTTGATTATGTGATGAGATTAAGTTGTCTATTTACCCTATTTTGGGACTGATATATGTGATTTTATGTAGGAGAGCCATTGACCTTAATGAGTGAATCTCCAGTGCATTCTGAAATAGACAACATTTTGATCTGTTAGCCCAGGTTTGATTGATTCGCAACTTTAGGCCTGTACTTCCTAGTCTTATGTTAAGTTTACTTCATTTTAATACTACATTATCTTGAACATCAAGTCTGGGTATGAAATAAGTTTAGCTTAGGAGAATGGGTTAAAAAAATGGAAGTGTTCCTTAATAATAAATTGTGCCTACTGCTGTACTCTTCAAATGAGGCAACTTAGTTGTAAAAGTACAAATAGACTAAAAATAATGATTCTCTCATCCTTTTCTGAATAGAGGTTTTTCTCTGCATTTCTCTGAAGGGAAGGGCATGCATGCGTATGTGTGTGAGCTCTCAGCAAGATGATTCTGACTGATTCTGCACTATGGCAAAGTTATAGAAATTAAGATGGTGACAGAGATCAGAGAGAGATGTGCAGCCTGAGACCAGGCTTTTTGAGTCATCGAAGAAGCTGTGTGAGCATGTACCTCCAGAATAAAAACCATGGCAATCAGACCACGTTTGCTTCAATTGTCTCTACAGTGAGACCCTCAGCTTCCTCCATTCAAGGACCAAAAGTGGTTTTAAATATGACTTTCACAACAAATGTCAGTTTTCAAATTCCACATTCTGTTGCAGAACTGTTCCCTTTCCTTGTCATTATTCCAGTCATGCATAGTTACAATAGCTTATCTTAAAATAACACTGATGTAAAGAACCCAGTGCTTTTCACAGTCATCATGCAGGTGAGTGGATTAGAGGAATGAAGGATGGAGACAAGGTCAAAAAGGTAGATTTTTCTTCCTTTTGGGATCAATGAGGTTTTTAAATTTTACTTCATTAAAAATCTATTGCCTTCTTCCTAGTATCTTGGAATAATCAGACTTTTATGTTGAGTTTGAACACTTTGAATATAATTTTACTGTCTGTGTGCAAAAGTGAAGTACAGAGAGGTGCTCTTTCAGGTGCAGCAAATTCCTTCCTTTTTACTTGTGAGTGCTGGATGTAGACCGGAGTCATATGCTAATCCATGGATCTATTACTTTAGGGAGGGAAGTGTCTGTGAATTCAGGGCATTTCCACTCACTTTAAAGCCTCAAGATGGAGCACTCATCAGAAGATGGTGCCCATGCACCATATACTTTATATCTTATGAAAGGGGTTGGAAATTATACATGGCACTTCTAAGTAGCTTTTTTCTGCTCTTTGCATTCTTGCTGTTTCATTCCTAATCCCAGTAACTGGTGGAAAATATTTCCACATATGAAGGTCAGGACAGAATTTAGCCTTTACTTTCAAGGAAGTGAAGTGCTGAGAGTTTGTGTGAGCTGAAGGTGAAGGACTTTTGTTGTTTGCTTTTTTCTTACTTGACATTTATTAATGCTGGTTCTCTTTTAGAAAGCAGGTGATGAAGTGGACGTAATACTGTTGGGCAACAAGTGTGATAAGGAGTCAGAACGTGTAGTTCCAAAACAGAAAGGAGAAAAGGTATCATTGATACTTTCTTTGGGCTCTCCTGAGTATCTTAGTATGTCACTGTGAGCTGTTAAACTGGAAATGGTGAAAAGCTCCTGAATCCCAAAAATTCTACTAGGGATTGCTCCAGAAGAACACTTGAGTAGTCCTGGAGTGTTGGGGGCTTTTTTAACATACGAGTAGAAACACATTAAGTAATTCCTAGATGGTCTCTTTAGAATACACTTTTAAAAGTTCGAATGCACTTTAAAAGTTTTAGGTGCTACAATAGAAATCTTTAATATAGAGTTTGCATTTTCAGAATACTGTTGTAATATGAAATACTAAAATGTAATACATTCTGCATAATTTTTCTGGTACCACCCATCAATAATCTTTTTGCTAAAATCTGACTATAAGGAACTATTCTGACAGCCTATGCAAAGTGATCTGCATTCTCTATGAACAGCCCTAAATAAGACTGGACAGGTACTGAACATCCAGCTCCCTAACTGTGTGTGTGTGGTACGGCTGAGACTACAGTATAGTTTATACCTGCTGACCACGGTTAGGGGAAGAACTGTTATTAAGCGGGGAGTGCTGTTTTAAAGGCAGTGACAATTTATTGTCACTGAGAACCAGTGAGGAAATTCAGAAGCCATGCTATGTATGACAGAAGAAATTTTGATAATAACTAAATATTGCAGGAGAGCATGGCCTATATACCAGTTAGTTTTGTTACTGCATACTGTATGCATCTGTTGTCTGGAACTTGGAATTAGCCCTCCTTTTTATGCTTTCAGGCATGGTGAGTCAGGCAGGATGTTCAAAGAAAAACACACTGATGATATCATGCCAATTATATAAGCCCAGATTAGGGAACTTTAAAAAAATAACATCACCTTTTTGACAGCATTACAATCTTGCAAGTTCATTTTTTGTATGGAAGGTGCTTTCAATGTTAATGTACCATAACTGTTTACAAGGAATAAGGTTGCTAAAAAACACATATGTACTCTCATACAAAGAATGTACTGTCAGAAATCTAAAGAATCACTGGATGCGTGTGCACAAGAGGGCAGTAGTAGGGTTTTGCATATGGTATTAAGTGTGACATTTTCTGACTTCTGTGTTCTTAACCATGCAATCAAAATTTCTCTTAATAATGTATTTTTTTCAGAAACAAATCATTACCTCCTCCCCAGTGAGTCTACTTGCTAGATTTCCCCTGTGTTTTTAGGCAAGGCAACTCTTCAGTTATACTATTTCTTCTTTTAATATAATTTACAAGTGCTAAAGCATCTGACTGAACATGCTGGAGAAATAGTCCATTAGCAGAGAGAGAGCTAGTAATTTTCTTCTCACTCCAAAGAAGAAAATATCCTTATTAGGAGGGGAAAACAGTTTGATACTAAGATTGACACATAATAATTCATACTTAGGTATTTCATATTACCGTGAGAGTATGAGTTGTAAGTATTGTTCTGCTCAGTCTCTTGCAGAGAAGACCCTAGGTTCCCTGGGAATCTTGTCATCTATGTTGTATGTCACTTCCTAGACTAATTTAATGCTGCGAATTTTTTAGTTACTCTCTTTTGTAATTATATAATTTCAATCACTCAGAAATTGATGTATTTAATTTTAACATTATCAAGTATAATTTTCTTGTATTAATTGCTTCTTATTCACTTTGACAAAAGTTTTAACTCAAGGTTCTTGGGCTCCTCTGTTCACCCCCTCCCAAATATAATTTTCTTTTTCACTGAAAAATAAAAACGTTGAAGGTTGGTAGAATGTGGCACTAACAGAAAAAGCCAAGTAAAATTTTCTACCCTTTTTTTTTTTGCTTTTGCTGTCTTCATAGCTGAAGCTGATTTATAACTTTGAAGCTGATTTTACATGTACAATACAAATTTTAAAAAAATATTCTGCACAGCTCTAGGAATATTTCAGCCACATCTCTCTGATTCAACACTAAGAAATCATAGCAGCCCTTTGCTGGGAAGTAGTATATTTTGAGTTAAAGGAACAATTGGAATTAATTTTCATCTTGGAAGCGGTATTAGCATTATTTTGTTACTGTAACACTGACTCTCCAAACTGTTCTCAAGGATATTATAAAATAAAATTGCCCAATAGTATAATTCTGATAGGTTTGTAAATGTATTTAGATATTTCATTTATGGATCTACTCAAGATATTCCTAAAGGAGAAAAAAAGTAGTTCTTTGAATGTGCCTTTCCAGTTTCTTTATGAGAGGGAGTAGCCAGATCTGTGTTCATGTTTCCAACTGCTTTAACACTGGACTGGTAGAGTTTTTTCCATCTAGTTACATTTTTAGAAGACTTGCTTGCCACAGAACTTACCGCTATGCAGGGTGAATTGAAATGATGCATACATTAATCTTCTTTGACCAATATTGTGCACATATAGAGAAAAATGCAGGTGCATTGATAGATGTAGTAGACAATGTAGTAATATGATACAGAGAAGACTGAAGTTTTTTGCTTTGATTTGATTTGATTTTTCTTTTGCATTGGTCTTCAGAGATAGAGCTTGCAGGTCTATTTGTGGTCTGTTTGTCTTAGGCCTCTGCAGGTACTGGCATGGTTTGGAAAGGAGCCAGGTCAGCCAGCAGTGGGAAAGCTTTGGATTAGAAACTGCTTGGGAAAGTTGGACGCATCCATAGACATGATGAAGTTTATCCAGTTGTGCCAAAAGACCTGTCAGTCAACTCTGAAAAAACGTGGTGGTTGGAAGAGATCCCTTTTGACTAGAAAGATGCTGGCATGACACGAATCTTTTAAAAAGGACAAGGAAGGGGCTTCAGGGAGCTCTAGTCAGTCAGCCTTGCTTCAGTCATGTGGTTCAACATCTTTATCAGTGATCTTGCTGATGATAGATGGAGATTTGCATGTAGCATTAGATTAAGGGGTGTGATTGGCAGATCAAATGGGAGAACAGCAATTCTGTAGGACCTTGATAAACTTCAGAAGTGGGCCAACAGAAACATCATTAAATTCATGAAGTGCAAAGATTTGCACCTGTGATGGAGTAATCCCAGGCATGATTTACTGCTGCAAAGGACTCAAGTTTCTCTGAACATCAGCTTGAATATAAGTCAGCAGTGCTCCCTTATGGCTTTAAAGCATGCTGGGTGACATTAGAAGGATAGTGGATAGTAGATCTGGGGGGATTATTACCCCCCTTAATTGGTACTGCCAAGGCTACATGGAATATTGTGCCCAGCTTTGGCTCTCCCATCTCAAGAAGGATGTTGAGAAACTGCAGATGGTCCAGCACACAGGTACAAAGGTATTTGGGGCCCAGTAGCAGTAATCCATGAGGAGAACTGGGGGAGGTGGGTAAAGAGGAGGCTAAGGAGCAGGTACTGGTCTACAGCAATTGAAGTGTAGCTAGAGAAATGACAGAAAAGACTCTTCTCAGCAGAGACAGACAATAAACCAAGGAGCAACAGACACAAGACCTGGCTTGGGAGGTTCAGGCTGGAGACGAGGAGAACCAGTTGCGCTAAAAGGGTGATGTAGCTATGGAAGAGGGTCCCATAAAGGTTATAGAATGCCCATCATTGGTGGATTTCAAGACTTGGGTAGGCAAAGCCATGGCTAACCCCATTTCAAGTGAGGTTACCTTTCAAAATGATTTCTGTGATTCCATGACTAAAATGTAGGGGGTTTGTGTTCATCAGAGTTTGTACGTAGGTAACCCTCTAGAAATCTGGTACGTGATACAAGGAAAAGGGAGTATTTAATTAGTTTCTGTGTACTTTAGAAACTGCTAAGCAGTTTACTTTAGTAGCCCAGTATTTTTTACTGCTCGTATTTTTCTTTATGAACCATTATGCATCATTGTTTTGTATTGACACTCATGAATAGCTAAATGATCTTAATTTTCTGTAACAAGTTGCTGCAGTACTGAAAATAGTTCACAGCAGTAAGCTAGAGACTCAGAATCCCTTATGAAGCAGTCTGTCTAAAGAAACAGTCTAGATCTCATCTTTATTTACAGAATTACATTTTCTTGTAGCACTTTATAAAGGAAACCAATTACCTCACTTTTTTTCCTACCTTTAATATAATCTTTGTTATATTTTGACTAAAACTTACAAAGTCTGATTCTTTTATCTGTATCTTCGTGCCTGATTTTGGAATTTTTGTAAAGCACTGATTTGTTATTTCTGGAGCTCATTGAAAGCAAACAGAACTGCCAACATTAGACTTTTTATCCTAATGGAGACCCTTCCAAATAAATCATTAGCTGTTCAGTAATAACAGGATTTTCTATACATTATAAGAAGTAGGGTATTTTCTTTGCCCAATATCATCTTTTCCAGATGTGTACCAAGAAGAGATGCATTACAATGGGAATAAATAGACTCTTCCACTATTTTTGACATATTTATTCCCACTTTGGCCCCCTCCCTTGGGAGGCAATGATGCAACTGTGTTGTCTTTTTGTCCATGTATTTAACTGTATAAATTGGGAAAAGTTTAGGACTCTAAAAAACTATTGTTTTTGTTGTGTTGGGTTTCTTTCTTCATGCCAGCGTAGCTCTAAGCTATCAATAAGGGAAATACACTGGAAATGAGAGAACACAAGTAAATTAAATAGAACCAACTAATATAAAGTCTATGCTACCCTTATAAGTATTTTCTCTTTGCCTATTACCATAATATATTTTTTCCACATGTATCTTTTTTTTACTTGCCTGTTATTTCTGTGCTTCTCTTTGTCTGGCATAAAGGAACATCTCTTTCATATTTCGTCATGTCTCTTTTCCTACAGTTTTTGTCACATTTTTATCTATACCTTTCTGTGGGCACTCCATTCGTTTTCTCTAAATAATTGCCTAGGAGACAGTTTGTTTTCCAAATGTATCAAAACATTGAGAACAGACCCACTGAAGTTTATTGTTGTTATTTACCAGTAGAGATAGGTTAAAAAAGCTGTTTTGAAAATGGAAAAAAATTTAAGAAGAATGAAACATTCTGAGGATGAATATAGAGTACTGAGCTAACGTGTATTTAATCAGTGTTTATATAGCATGTTAGAAGTAGTCAGAACACTTCCATTTCTCTTGATACTAGTATTAGGAAGTGTTTTTTTTCCTGAAGACTGTTCATCCCATTGCCTACCTTTGTTTTTCAGATTGCTTGGGAATATGGAATACCGTTTTTTGAAACCAGTGCTAAAGATAATGTGAACATTGAGCATGCATTCTCACTCTTGACTAAGGAAATACTGGAAAAGGTAGGCTTCTTTTCTAAGTAGAAAGAATGGGAGATTTTTCTTGACAGATTGGGTAAACAAGGTTGTAAATACAGAACAGGTTTGGCAAAGCACAGCTAGTGCTTTTTTTTCTGTGTTATGGAGTTAATATTTCGAAGGGATCCTGTAGTTGCAGGTATACAGTGGAGGAATGTGGGGGAAAAGAATTGTGGGAGAAGAGAAAAACAATAGAGGGGAGCAGGTAAAATACAGTTCAGAGATAAAATGAAAATTCAGGACAACTGCTTTTGTGTCTTTCTTTCCCATGCTTTTCTGTAAGGGAGTGGTTAACAGCTCTAGAGTAGTTCCACTCCTGTGCCAGCATGATTCCCTTTTCCTATAGGTTTCTGCAGAATGTGCACACAGTGAAGATGCTGTATGCTGATGTAATCAGTGGACCTTTTATGTTCAGTAGTCAAATATTTTATACAAGGTTCATAGCTGTTTGTTTGGCTGATTTACACTAGTGCTTTTGAAGTTATGGTGACCAAAAGATTTGAGTTAATTAGTAGTGGAATCAATATTGTAGCTGTCAGAGTCAGCATCTCTAACTAACTCAAGTGCATTGGCTTAAAAGTCCTTATTCCTTGGAGTTGCAATACTTTTGTAGGACTGAATTGTTGTTCATTAGCTCTGAAAATGTTTTGCATTGTAATTTATTTTTAGACAGTAGAATATTATTTTAGACATTAATAGATGTTCTTCATGCAATGCATTATCATCGCCATTCATCACCAATATTAGTTATACAAAACTAACCTTCCATTCTGAATACTGTTGAAGTCATAATAAAGATAAATGAGCAAAATTACTGACAAAGTCACAAGTTGCAGTGTTTTGATTAAGTAGCCATAGGGGATGGTCAGAATAATAGCTCTGGGTTGGACTGCTTCTAAGTCAAGGTCCTGTTGTATTATATAACACAAGCTGCAGTTGGTTATTTTGGGGGAGAAAAAAGAAGAAAAAAAAATCTTTTGATTACTTTAGCATGAAAATGAAGCACAGCAACTTGATGGTCAAATATTGTTTAGAACAGGATAATAATGGCAGGTCCTTGAATAGTTGGACAAAAAGTCTCAAATAAGATAACTCTGATTTTGTTGTAAATTAAAAAGACATTGACTGCTGTAAATGGAGAATATATTGATATGTTAGTATGAAGCCTGAAAATACAAAACAGTAGCTATGATCATAATTACTTCAAAGACAAATATGTGTGAAGTGAGCATTTCTGCACAGTGCATTTGGGTAAGATCTAAGAATTCTCTCAGTGTGCAGAAATGGTGCTTGGTTATTTCTCACATTAAGATTGCCTGCACTTACTGTAGTGTAAGTGGAACTTGAGTATTCCTACTCATCTTCATGAAAATTCATGCAGTTTTTAGTGTGGACATAGCAAACAAATTCAGTCCACGTTGAAAATGTTATACTGCTGCATGGTTTTAATTAGAACTGCTTTGAACAGTTGTGTGCTCTGATTGCATATATGTGTGTTTGGGAATGAGAATTTGTCGAGTTTGTCTGTAGTAACAGTTCACCTTAGCTAGAAATGTTTGGAATCCTGATGGGGCATCACATACGTTACTTTGATGTATAATTTGCCATTTTTAGTGAAATGGATTTGTTGATATAAACAAGGACTCCTTTAGCCCAATTGGTTTTTCCATGGCCTAATAAGAGAGTTCTCAGTAAAAAAAAAAAATCTACCATAGAGTTTCATCATGGTTTTCAGGTTCGACAAAATAATTTGCCTGTTCACAAAACTGTGAAATCTGAATGTAGTACTTGAATTTTAACTTCCTCTAACTGATGAAATTTTGGAGAAGGGAAAATGCAGTGGGAAGTGTGACTAGTAGCTGTGAAAAATGACATGATAGGTGCCAGTCTGAGATCATTTTAATCATATATCCATTCTGTAGTGGTGAAATATGTACTTGCTGATTGTAAAAAGGAGATACAGCTTTGCATAGTGTTTTGGCCCCAGACACCTATATCTGATGGTATCAGGCTTCCCATGGTTCTGCAGTAGGACCACCTCTCCCAGACTGATGAGATGCTTCAGTGGAAGCATGTCATTGCTTTACCAGTCCCACAGAGGAAACTCCTTTTAAGGAACTTCCTAGAAAAGTCTATTATGGCCATGCTTTTGGGAAGTATGTGAAGGTCATTCAGAGGTAAGATAAATGGGCAGGGCTGACAGGCAGCAGACCATTTTCAGATACATTGCAGTAGATTGTATTAATCTGAGGAAATCTAGGATTTTTTTATATACACTCTTGCCTACCATTTACTACAGGCATTTCTTTATTAACCAAATGTACAGAAAACACCTCTGTAGATGGTGAAGATCAATGTCCAGAGTTACAGAGCTCATACAGAAGTACTAAGTGTCTTGATTCTTTTGAAATTTAGAACAAGCTGTTGTTCAGTGGAGGGCTGGGGGGAAAAAAAACCATATTAAAATGTGTCAGACATTTAAACAAAACAAAACAAAAGGCAAGTTTGTATCGTCACTATTTTGTACTGTGTTTTCCTATCTCTTAATTTGTAGTTTTTCTTGTAGTGAGTTTAAGGGAGGGAAAAGACTTCTGTATCCCAGCAATTCAGATAACTAAAGTACTGCTTGACGTTTCAGATACCATCTCAGCCATTCTATGCTTAGGCTCAGTCCTACAACTCTAATTTACATGGGTAGTCTCACTAAAACCATCAGATGTTATTTGAGAGTTTACATTGGTAACAGCTAAGGAGTCATGCCATATTTCTGAGAACTCACAATTTTCAAAGCAATCAGTTAATAATAACTGAATGCAGTAATTTAATTTTAACTTCCTCTGACTGATGAATTTTTGGAGAAGGGCTGATTTGATTGTATTTGAAAGGCTGCAGTGGAAAGAGATGTTAATGACAGATTATTCCAGAATATTGCTTAGACATGTTGACAAATAACAACAGTATTTTATTTATTCACAATTCTTATAAGTCTCAGATATGCCTAAACCTGTTCAGTAATAGATGACAGCTGTTCTTTGACAATGCTTCTGGTTGCCAGTGAACTATTTGTACTTGCGAGTCAGTCCTCAAGAAACAACCAAAACCAAAAAAATACCTCCCAGAATGCATTTAGCATTTGCATTTTTGTGTTGTTTGGTGTCATGGCTGACAAGCAGTACTTTTCTCAACTACCTTTAAAAAGAAATATTACAAACCTTTGTATTTATGTCTTTGTGTGGGTGGTTGTTGGTGTTTTTCTAAAATAGGAGCAAGGAGAGAACTGTATTAAAAAAAAAAAAAGGAAAAAAAGTACGAGGTTTTCACCTTTTTCTGAAGACTGCCATAAGACTTAACCAAAACTTGAGTTCTGCCTATCTCCTAAACTGACTACTAAGATTATTTTAATCATATTAAATAAACATATATCTGCTGAGTAGAGAACAGTGAAAATCCATTTAAGACCTTGCCCTGTGCTGTTGAGAGCAACATTTAATGTTTAACAGCTGGATGTCATTTGAGATGAACATTCTGAAATAGCAGGCCTCAATTCTACCCTTCCTTTGTTTCTTTACCTTTCTTTCCTATGGCAACAGATTTTTGAAATTACACTGTGTGTCCCATGCCTTTGCTCCTAAAGTACCTTTGTAACTGGTTAACTGATTTTAAACAAATTTGACAGGTCAAATTAAAAGATAATTAAGCTCCTGAGGAGTTCTTGAAAATAAGGTGAGAGGGAGAGTACTCTGCAAAAGGAAAGTCTCCAGCATGAGGTCATACAGTGTTGGACAGAGACCACTCTATAGAGAGACTGAAAAATGCTTCAACCAACCATTCCAGCTGGAACTTGCATCATAGATATCAAATTTAATTCACATCAAGACCCAAATCCATAGGAAATCGGATTTCATTATTGCTGAGGTTCATGGAATTGTTAGTTTGTCTAAAAAATCCCTGTGTCTCCAGCAGTGCATACTCAGTGTTTCTTTATTATCCTCAGTCATGCATGGAGCCCCAGGCTTTGTTTGCCCTTTATTTATCTTGTACTGACCACAGAATATTAATTCCTTCGAGAGGGTTTTCATAATGCTTGTAATGCTGTACTTTAGATCTATTTTAGATTTTTATCTCCATAACCTTCTTAGTAACATTAGGTAGTATATTCAGCTTTGCACACTTGGGAACCAAGGTACAGAGATTAAAGCGAAGAGGATAAATGGTGCCAACTCAGTGCTGGTGCAATGTAAGGCATAATTTAAGTACACTATCTTATTTAATTAAAAAAAAAAGTCTGTTCTGGACATTGAATGAGCTAGATATTCTTCTGGAAACAGTAGCATATAATTAGGTTATGTAAATCAAAACTTAATCACAATGTCTGAGTGTACAGGATGAGATTCATCTTGATGTGCAACCTTAGCCAGCTAAAATTTGCATGACTGGTCTGGTTGTCTGGAATCATCTCTACAAAATGGAAAGAGATGAGTCTTTTTAGGATAAAATTTTGTTCTGGAGGTGTCTTTCTTTTTCCCTTGATTATAGGGAGTTCCATATCTCAGCCTATATGGTTTCATGTGATTCAAATTAAATAAATTGAACTCCAGGAGACCAAAAGAATGGTACAGACTTGACTCGCTTCTGGCAGTTACTGCTTCTGCAGGATCTTGGTTTTGAAGACGTACTGCTCTCTTAAATAGGGTTGTTGATGTGCAACTATACTAAACCTTACCTAGATGATTTGTAGGGTTGAGGAACCTTACAGGAGGACCAAGGCTGTCTTCTCAAGTTTGTGAAATAACTAAGTGCAGTATAACATTGTTACAGTCTACCTGGTATTAACAGAAGAGGGAGATAGAGCCCCACACTTTGCCAGTGGGTTGGATGTTTTAGACATGATGGAATAGCAGGTTTTGGGAGCAAGGCCTTCATCAACATTTCTTGAGGAATGTATTCAGCAGCAGTTAGATCCTGGTCCTGTCCCTATTCCCACAGAGATTGCTTTCCCTGTTAATATATCCTTAGCTCTTGCTTAATACTGCTTGTGCCATGTCCTGCCCAGTGCTGTTGTGAGAAGACTGTCTTGCATTTTGAACAAGTAATTTGAATTACAGAATATAGGGAATGCACGGAAAGCATCAGGACTGTTCATAACTGAGCTTCCTCTACTGACAGTTCAGTAACAAAAGTGACGTGGACTTGGTTGCATCAAGTTCTCTGCCATGGTTTGTCAGTCTTTGTCAGCTATCATTGTTAAATATAAACAAAATGATTGCAGTGATTAAGGAGGATCATTCTGTCATTAGAATAAAAATCCTCAAAATTTAAAGAATGTATAAATAATAGGAACCTAATAGTTACAGTTCCTTCTGCTTGTTTCTCCAAAGCTGCTAGTTTTTCAGCAAGCACTCCAAGCCTGACTTCGATTGGGGACTTGATAGAGTAAAATCCTGTCATTCTTCTAAACCCACAGTGAGCCTCACCTCTGAAATAACTAAACCAGCATCAAAATACCAAGAACTGGTGCTTGAGTAGGTGAATCATCTGAGTTTGTATGGCACAGTTGATCTGAGTACTTTTTGCAGCAGGGAATGTTCAGCTGATCTTAACGAAGATTTACTCCATTAGAAGCCTTTCAAAGAGTTCATCTTTTCTTTTTGTTACATTTCCCTTTGTATACCACCTTAGCTTTCTTTCTCTGATTTAAAAAAAAAAAAAAAATGGAATCTTAGCCATCTCATCACAATTCCTGTGTCTAGGTATCTGTTGTATGCCAGTGATACAAACTCTGCTTAGAGCTAGGGAGGAGAGACAGCCGGGAGGGGAGACAGCAGGAAGCGTAAAACTGGCTTGAACAGATGCCTCTTTGTTAGGTGAGACATGTCTGGTGTGCTATTTAACAGGAAAAACTAGTATTTGATAGCAGGAAGTTTCAACATCTTACTAAAATCACTGCAGGGTGGAGCAGCATCTCTGTCTGTGGAGGTATTTTCAAAACCCCACTTTGCTCAAGATGCCGAAGTGGAAACTCAAGCTTCTTGGTACCATTTTGGTTCTTCTCATCTTTTCACATCTCTTTTGCTGTTTGTTGGCTGACTTGTCAGGCAGTGAGTTACAACAGGCTGAGCTGAAATGTGAGCTGGAAGTGTTAGTGTTCATAGAGCCTTGGAGGAGGAATGCTGCCTGCCTTGTTCCCAGAGGTGGGAGAGATTTGCATAACTCCCTGCTGTAATTTCAGGAGAGGGGGTGCCCCACCTCTTCCAAGGCTTGGCTGAAGTTGAGCACTACCTGGGATTGCCCAAATCTGATCGTTGCTTCAGCGCTTTATGCAGGACTCCTCATATCTCTTTAGATTATGAATGTGGACTGTTAAAATCTGTACAGCACATTTGCTTAAATGAATCCCAGGCCCTCATTTGCTTCACAAAGATCCTGTATGGAACAATCTTACCAGTCTTACCAAACTGAAGTGATTAAGAATCCTCAAATTTACATTTTAAAATTTCAAAATGGATTTCAAAATGGCTCTTCTTTATTTGTAGAGTGGTGGTTCTTGTCTTTCTATGCTGGCTTGTCTGTTGATAAACTATCAGATAATGATCTTACAGATTATAAGAACCATTGCATTATCATTATGCTTCACCATTCTTAATTACTTACAGTACTGAGGATCTGTGCTAAGGATACATGAACAGCTTACTTGCCACCCAGAAGTATTATTAAATAGTAAAATATTTGCAAATAAGCATATTCAATGTTTAAGGAACATGTAAGTTTCTCCCCTTTCACTGAAAGCATGAAGTTTGATCCTGAAGTATAGCCTGCAACATCTTGAATTACCTGTTTCCTTTAAAGTTAAGTAAGTGAAATCTGAATTCTGAAAATGTTCAAACAGGGATTTTTCTAGAACTCTTTTAAACTACTTAAACTGATTTTGTTTTCTCAGGAAAAAGCATGAGTGAGACAAAACTTTTTTAGTTTATGTCCACAATAATCAATGCTTAATGTTATTTCTTGTTCTCAAATAAATGAATTTAAACTTCTTACTGTACCATTTTCTTCCAAAGTTTTCCCTTCAGAATCTTATCTGTAAACCAGCATGGTATCTTGTTCCTTGAGATGGCAAGGTTATATTTGTGTACTTTGGATTCTGCCTTGTTCCCTCTTTCAAAAAGGTCTTCATACTTTATATTTACTGTCTATGCTTGCAGACTATCAAATACTGTCTCTGCCTAATGTTAATACAAATGTTAATAGCTAATGCCTTTACTTGAGTACCTTACGCAACTGTGCAAAAAGTTAAAATTTATCAGAAGTTATAAATCAGTGTGTTGGTATTTCTGTGAATTCTCAAGGGTAATAAAAATGTTATGTCTCTTGGTCCTTATCACTCAAAAAATAAAAATAATTTAAAAAACCCAAACAAAAGAACCAAGTAAAAGTGCACATGCTGTGTTTCTTCATTATTTGACTAATGACAAGAAATTCCTAAAATCAGTAAGTCACAGTCTTCTAGTACCCTACAGTCAGAACAATATTTGCTAATAATTTTACTGACGACAGCTTCGGCATCCATCCTGAGGTTTAGACTCTACAATACGTTTTCTGCCCTCAACTCCTGCCTCTGTCCACCACTTCTGATCCCTTCCCAGGTTCATCTTTTCTCCCAGCACCTTGCAAGGTGGAAGCCTCCCTGGTTCTCTGCAGCCCCAGGGAGGATCAAGCTCAGCCGCTCTCTTTGTGGGGACGGCCCTGGCACAGGGCAGCCAGCACTCTGGAAGAGCTGAAACTATGGCTGCAGAAGGAAAAAGGAAACAAATTTCATGCGCCCACTCCAGAATTTTAGGCAGCGATAAATATGCCCAGCCAAAAAGGCATCAGGCTTATTTGTAGCATAGGGGAACTTTTTATTTTGCCCTCATTCTGATTCACCTGAGTAATTTTAGATGAACTCTTCTGGATGTAGTCAATGTTCAACTACCCTGTGACATTGTATGTGTAAGTTTTCAATTCTGAATCGTGATTAGCATTGTTCATGATGACTTTTTTCCCTTTTCCTTTCTTTTTTCTTGTGCTTTGAATTTCATGAATTCCATCTTAGATAGCTGTTGTCTCTGGAAGCTTTTCTTTATTGTCAGAAATTGTTGTTTATGGCTGTTGGGTTTGGGTTGAGATGAATGTGGTGAATCCAGTGGTTGCACTTACTTCTCTGTGTATCATTACATACTTGGTAAACCTTCCAAGACACAGGCAGGAGAATGGCAAGTAGAGAAGTTAGGATTTTTTGTTTCCTTGGCATGTGACAATATTCTCTATGTCTTTGTGCCCTCGTTCAGGGTTCAGTGTTACAGTTTCAGAGTACAGGATTGCGACATGTATTTGTACTGTATTGCACAACTAGGTTTGATTGTTTCTCTGGTCAACACTAATTATCTAGTCTAGTTCATTGCTGAAAGGAAGAGTCCTGGTTTTCATGATCTTTATTTTTGTTATAATCTGCTTTTGCAATCAGTACATAAATGTTTTACAAGGGTGGAGTGCTATTTTGATAGTTTATCATGATAAAAACTGAACTGTTTCCATTTGGAGGTATTGGAGGTTATTAAATAGAGGCCAGAAAACAGAATTTTAGTGAATTTCACAAAACAAGTTAAAGTCCTTTCTAACAGTTAATAGCCTGTGCCTTTTTTGAGTGGGTACTGATACTCTGTATTTTCCTGTTCCTTTCAACTGGGCTTTTGCACCCCATGCTCAATACTTCAAGGATTAATGCACTTAACTGAAACTACTAAAAATTGGTGTAGTCAACAGGAGAATGTGCTCTTATAAACAGTTCATGTGAGAAAAGATTTTCAGGATAGCATGGTTTGTAGTGTCTCCTCAAAAGACACTTTCTATCATCTATCACCTTCTGAGTTAGGAGAGATGTTTGAGGCAGCTAAAGAATGTAAAGATGCCAAACCGGGACTTGCATGGGCTTCAGTTTCCATTTAATTTGTTAGAAAACTGAAATCTTATAATTAAATATTCAAAGACAAATATATCTAGTGACTTTACCAAATATTTTACATTAAAATACGTGAAAAAGCAAGCTTTTCAACTGTTGTGTTCTAGTTATCTTAATTGTTTGCTTATGTTTGTTTTACAGAAATCCTGTGTATTATATGACTTAGATGTTGTGACTCTAAATGAAAGTAAGAAGAGAACCTGCTGTGCATTCTGAAATATTGTTTCATGATCCATTTTCTCTTCAGAAAATATTAAGTGTTGCAAAGGCACACACAAGATTTTAAAAGTGAGCCTGTAATCCCGAAACACAGTGTTCAGGCATCCTTTGTATTACACAGACTTTGTTGCCAAATGTTTTTATATGTTTATATTATATTTTCATATTTTTAATGTGAAGATAAAACAGTTATCTGATATTGGAATGCATCACAGGATGACTGTGTTTGCATTACAAATGTTTGCAGAAATGTAATGTAAGTGTACAAATTTTCTCTTATTAAAAAAAAAATTACCTTGACTTTTTTTTTCTGTGTTATTTATACCAGATTTGTAATGTAATGAACGTTGACATCACCATCACACGGGCAACCTTCTGATATATGAAATCATATAACATCTTTTTAAGCACCTGATATTTACTGCCATCTCCTAAGATAATTCTATGGAAATTTTTGGCTTTTGTTTCTTTTACATCTATTTCAGAAACATATGTGTTACTTCAATAACCTTGAATAGGGAGGCTGCAAAGGTGAGGGCTGAGAAAAAAGAATAAACCATATACAAGACTGGTGTCATAGAATGGTTTGTGTTGAAAGGGAGCTTAAAAATCATCTAGTTCCAACTCCCCTGCCATGAGCAGGGATGCCTTCAACTAGGGTATGTTGCTGAACCTTCCTAAGAAGGCAGAAAACAGAGAACAACACAATCCTGTAATACACATCCTGTAATAATCATCTTTCTCATATGAAGTTGTATAATTCTTTAAAATAATTCGTGCAGGTATTAGCAGCATACCTGTATTTTCAAATGTTCATTTTGTCACAGATGATTGCTATATAAGGGTTTGTTTGATATTGTGACATATTCATGTTATTTTCTTAAACTATAAATAGATTATACTCATACATTGTATATGAGTATAATGATTCTGCTCATTTAATCTGCATTATACTGGTATGTAATAGCTTTAATTTCAGTGGAGGATATTAGATTTAATTTTAAAAAAATTAAATGAGGGCAGAATCATGTTGCTGGTTACTTTTTGTTTAATCAGAGGTAAAGAGAGCACAAATCAAACTTGCAGGACACAAAATGAAAGGACGGATTGGGAAATCTGAAGAATTGTGGTGACTATATTGTCATTTTTGGGGGGGTGGTTTGTGTGAATGAATAACACTATGCAAAATTCTGTCGTGAGCTATCCCAGCGTATCCAAAATAACTAGCTCCACTGGCTTACTGTTCTGGAATGTCACTACGCTCCTGAAATATGCCTGCTTCTTTTTTGGGGGGCTGTTTGCAGATTGTCATAATATCGATTTATTATTAGAGTTGGTATTGAGACAGGGAGCTCTAGTGGAAAATGCTTTCTGAAGCACATGGGACTGAATTTGAGCATACTGCCAGGTTTGTGTGCCACTAGCCCAGTTATGTGCTTGCAGAAAGGGTGCGAAAGGATGGGAAGGGCTACATATTTACAGGTGCTCCTGACTACTCACCATGGGCAGTCACTTAAGCCAGCGTTTATTGCAAAATCTGAAAACAAGGAACAAAGGATTATCCCTGCCTGCGTTACAACCATAGCAGAGGAAGGAAATAGTGCTGGAAGGGATTTTGAGAGGCTGTTTAGATCCTCATCATATCTCAGCCTCTGATCAGCTGCCCCTGCTGTACTGCAGGAACATGGTTAGAGACTTGGAGCGATAGAGATTTCAGAGTGGCTACTGTCCTTACTTAGCTGGCTTGGCAGGCACGAAATCTATTACCTAACCAGTACACAAGGAAAGTAGGTTCTCCCTTTTGTCTTCCCTTCCCAAGCTTTCCCTTCCCAAACCTAACCTTCCCTCCCAAACTTTCCCTTCCCAAACCTTCCCTTCCCTTCCCAAACCTTCCCTTCCTAAACCTTTACAAACCTTCCCTTCCCAAACTTTCCCTTCCCAAACTTTCCCTTCCCAAACTTTCCCTTCCTAAACTTTCCCAAACCTTCCCTTCCCAAACCTTCCCTTCTCTTCTCACTAGAGAACTCCTGTCCCTTCTACCTTCCCAGTCCAGTCTATCAGAAGATCTTTAACTTACCTATGTGTTTTGCAATCTGTTTCTTCATTTTTCTAGCCTAAGCTCTTAGACTTTTGTTGATGGTACTAGTAAGTAAAATCACATTTGCCTTCTAAAATTGAAGACTGAAGTTAAAAAAAGGCATTAAGGATACTGGCATCTCAGTATCACTAGTCCTTAAGTGATGATTAAATAGGTTTCCCCTTCTATGGAATAATAGACCAATTTTTTCCTTGGCCTTCTCGCTATGCATCTTATCAACATCCTTGCTATCTTTTAAATCCAATTTTCTAACATTTTGGGACCTTATCTTTCAGGTTCTGTCTGTACATAGTCTATACATTTATTCATAATTTAGTAATTTGATGAACTTTCTATTTTCCTTCTGGTCAATGAAGATCAGATGATTCAACCAACTTAGTCTTTATTTCACTTCCTCCTCCTCTGTGTAGATCAAATTCTGCAGTTTTGCCTTTTTGCTATGGATCTCTGATGAACTTTTAGCTGTCCTGAACTTGCAGAAATTTAGCTACTAGTTCTCTGAGTTTGTCTCCGTTAAATTCCTCCTCCTTTTCCTAACAATGAAAATAGATAAAAAAGGGCTAGACTGATTTGTAATTTTGATTTCTTCTCTTTGTAACTAATGAGAATTTCAACTACAGGAATTTCTTCTTGCAGTGTTTTCTACTTCTTGTGGCTTAGGCATGATCCAGTTACTGGTGCACCTTACTGAGATGCAAATATTCAGGTTTCTCCTAACACTCCAGGTACCATGAGTGTTCTCCTTTTCGCATCTCCTGGAGCAAAACAACTGCCTTTTTCTAAGCATATGCATTGTGGATTACATTCAGAGGAACACGCAACTGGGGGAAAACCGCCACTCTCACTAGGAGCAGAAAACCTCCTGCCAAACTGGGACATGCTGTGTTTAAAGGCATTCTCAAACTAGAAATAAGGATGTAAGTTGAGAGTATTGTCTTCATTTAGTTCTCTAAAAAGCTGGCTGGATGACAGTGTTGCACAAATTCCCACAGATGGAATTTTTAGCTTCAATAAAGGTTAAATAAGGGATTTGACTGAAAAAAGGAGGACACCTCTTACAGTGAAACGGAAGATAAAAGCTGAATGCTCACACCAGACCCTCAGATATCTTTATAATACCTTGCATGAGTGAAGATTGCCTAGATTTTGCCAGTAATACAGGAATAGTGTTCTTTTTCAAAACATGAGATGTACAGATATTAACTGTGTCAAATGCATTGTTCTCTTTCCCCTTCCCCCTTTGCCTCAGGATCCCCCTGGATCTGTGGACTGATGCCAGTTGTATGAGGCCCAATGAGGAGAAGTGCCAGGTCCTGATCTTTGGTCACAACAACCCCCTGCAGCACTACAGGCTCGGGGGAAGAGTGGCTGAAAAGTGGCCCTTCAGAAAAGGACCTGGCAGTGCTGGCCAACAGCAGCTGAACATGAGCCAGCAGTGTGTCCAGGTGGCCAAGAAGGCCAATGACATCCTGGTCTGTATCGGCAATAGTGTGACCAGAAAGACTCAGACCACCAAGTCACCCTGTACTCGACACTGGTGAGGCCACACCTCAAGTACTGTGTCCAGTTTTGCGCCCCTCACTCCAAGAAAGACATTGAGGTGCTGGAGTACGTCCACAGAACAGAGTTGGTGAAGGGTCTAGAGGGTGCATCCTGTGAGAAGTGGCTGAGGGAGCTGGGGTTCCTTAGCCTGGAGAAAAGGAGGCTCAGGGGTGACCTTATCCCTCTCTACAACAACCTGAAAGGAGATTGTAGCAAAATGGGAGTCAGTCTTTTCTACCAGGCAACTAGCAACAGGAGAACAAGACATGGTCTCAAGCTGTGCCAGGGGAGCTTGAGGTTGGACATCAGGAAGAATTTCTTCATGGAAAGGATTGTTAAGCATTGGAATGGGCTGCCCAGGGAAAGTGGTGGAGTCACTAGCCCGGGAAGTGTTCAAGAAATGATTGGACACGGCACTCTGTGCTGTGGTTTACTTGGCATGGTAGAGTTCAGTCAAAGGCTGACTTGGATGATCTTGGAGGTCTTTCCCAGCCTTAATGATCCTATGATTCAGAGAAAGTTAGAGATTTAGGACCTGCTTCTGAAGTGATCGCTGCATCTTCTGTTATATCCCATTGGACTTGTAAATATTTATGAAAATCAGGCCTATAAAGGCAAATCACATGTAGGAAGAAGGAATGCAAATTCATAGGGTTTTTTTAAAGAAATACGAACTGTTATAGCCTCACATGAAACTTACTGTATAAAGCTCAGTTTTATTTGATGTGTGCATACTGCATTGTAAAGCATGTTCCCAGATACATAACTAAAATCAGTTTGTAGTTCTTTTTCAGATGTTAGCATTGGCAGTGGAATAAATATATACTAGAGATTTTACAGCCTGCTGCATAAATGTGTTGTGAAATCAACATGAAAGTCAATTCAAAATGCATTTAAGAATAATTTCAGGAATTATTGAGTCCCTCTGCCACTGCTTATGGTTTTATGGAATGAATTTGCTGTTGATTCATAAATAGTGTCTCTGAACACCACCTGAAAAGCACTTGCAGAAGAACTGAGGTGTTGTATAACTGAGGCCCTGACCCTAAAGTGGACCTGCTCACAGCGATTCCTCTCCGGGTCTGGTGGCTTTGTTAGCATTTTGCACCAGTAGGAGACTGGTAAGAGATCACACTCAGGGACTAAGGCATTGCTAGACATCAGAGAAATTTTTATCTCTAAAGTGTTAATTACACATAAGGTGCAGTTAAAACAAGAAATCTTCTGAGGCTCATATGTGCTGATGATTTGAATGGCGTGTATGTAATATTAGAATGTATTTCAAGAAGACAGAGCTGTAGTACAGTTAGGACACATAACAAGGTCACTCTAAGAGTAAGAGCAAGATATTTAAATATTAGGAAGCTTTATGATATCTCTGCCGGAAAACAGCTGAATGAAATTCAGATAACATCTAGAAGTTAAATTTTTTTTAAAATGCACCTTGTTCCAGTAAAAAGGCTAAGAGTGGGCTGGATTTCCACTGGTTGGAGAGAACACAAACACTTTTATAGGAAGACAGACTTAAAAGCCATAGGACTTCTAGTACAATCTGAAGAATGAAAAAATCTTTCAAGAAAAATCAGCAGTGACTATTTCTGTGCAAAAGATGCTTTTCTTCCCAGATAGCAGAAGTGCATGATGTCCGAGAGAAGCATATGCTGTGAGATGGTATCGGTATCTACCCTGGAATTAATGGTACCCAAGATAGTGTTTAAGAACAATTCTTGCAAGACTAGTGCTTCAAGTCCTGGTGAATCCCAGTCTGACCTGATCTACTTTGCCTTACGCACTGCACCTGGTAACCTCGTCAAACCTGAACGAGTTAAACCCATGCTTTTGCTTTCCATATTTTAGCAATAGTGCTGTTAGCAATAGTGCTGGAGTTCGCTGGAGGAGGAGTGACCGATACCCCAGAGTGC